AAAGCAGTGGTATCAACGCAGAGTACTGATGCGATAGAATCTTTTTCGTTCTTGTAGTAAGTCTTTTCGTCATATATGAGTTAGGCATTCGTTTTTATTTTGATTTTTCTGCTTTGCATGACTTTTTTCTTTGATAGCTGCTGTAGTTGTATACTATGATAGTAACTTCAAGATTTTTCGGAAATGATGTTGGCATCTTCAAAATCTTTTGTGCTCAAATCTATGATATTGTCGTGTTTTGCTACTCTTTCAGTCATATTCTATGGAGGTGAGTCAACTTTTTAGAAATCTCACTTTTTTAATATCAACTTCATAGACAGACTCCGCACCGAAAATCTAGAATGGCAAGAAGCAGCATTCCTCGCAAAAAACAAAAGTCACATATTGCCACCCTTTATTAGATATCGAGAACAGTATTTGGTAAGCGGAGTGTCACAGTCATTTGCGACCGCATCAAATTTTCAAAATTCAGGTAATAGACAAGTATCGCCTTGCCACTTGCCAAATAGAAAAAATAATGAGTACAATTAGAGGAGCTATATTTTGCTTTCTCACCGACTCGAAAAAATTTTTGGAGCATAACAGAACCATTAGCAACGAACCGTGGAAAAAGAAGGAAAGGTATGCGTTAATATAGCTAACTTCCAAAGTTTGCATAATACAAACTCAGAAAAAAAAACACGAACTTTCTAAATTCACTATCAAAAATGTATTTATCAACAAAGGGAAGCAAATGTCAGAATTTGCTAACTACCTTTACAGGTTTTGCAAGGAGCGGAGTTACGTCCACGAAGATCTTGATAAAACTTTGAAGAATATGGGGCAAGATGCTGTCTTGTTTACGATTGTGAGAGACCCTGTAGAACGACTGATAAGCGGTTTTGTAGACAAATGCTTGAGGTGAGGAATCTTGGTCTATTATAGTGAGAAAATATCGTGTGAGATTTGAACGAATTGGATTTCATGCTTCCATCCTCGAGTGCTATTATTAAATCGGCTAATATTGAGTTTGTTTTGACATGATTCAAAATTCCATAACAATTCGAATAGCAGCTATTCAACTGAAATTTTTTTTGCGAGAAGGTATCTCCAAGCCTCTATTCACGAAGATCAAGCAGTCATATTTTCGTCACCCAAAAGTGACACTTGTGCCCTTTCATGGTCAGAGTTCTAAAAAAACGCTTTTCCAGATTTTCAAGTTCTGTTCTCAGTCTATAATGAGTGCATGCACAGACGACTTCATTTGGTCGTTAAACTTAAATAATAACTTATCCTTTGGTAACTTGGCGAACTACAATGGAGAATGTGATCTGATTTTTGTGAATTTCTGCAACCAAAAACTTGAAAATTTCCAGCCATTTTCGCGTGGAACTCAGGTTTTGGGCAGTCAAGATTGCTTGAATTTAACCATCTACAGTGCTGTACATAATTATAAAGCCACTCTTGGTGCAAAAGTTTTGTCAGTTTTTTCAATCCATTGGCAAGCACGTTAGAATGAAAATAAACAAATACTTTAAGAAGTATCCGATGCAGAATTTCCTCCTCTTTCTAGGTGCTAAACTCTCATTCTGTTTTGTTGCAAGAGTGACGAGATATTTGTTGTAAATTACAACCACTAGTTTTAACCATGTCCAAATTTGCTAATTTTCAAAATTTTTGTATAAGACTTTCGGAGCAGCTCTAACAACTAGCGGATAGGGCAAACCTTTTGCCAACAGAAGCAGTTTTTTTAGCTGCTTTTTCAGGATTTTGCTAAGTAATTTTCTGAAAGTCTTGTGTTCTGGAAAAATCGCATAATCTTTCATTGTACCAAACACTGCAAAACCTACAGAATACTGTGGTTTTAACACACGATTATTACTACCGCTACCATTACAAAGTAAATGAGCGATTTTTGTTTTAGATTATGAAGATTTTGAAACATAGATTACGTCAGTGCGCACTCATGAAATTGAGAAATACTGCGATTTTCCCCATAAATTTCGAGAAATGCTGAAAGACAAGGCGTAGGGCTACAAAAAGTGCTTCTGTTGGCAAAAAATTTGCCCTATCTGGTGGTTATTAGAACTCCTCCAAAAATCTCATACAAAAATTTTGAAAATTAGTGAATTTTGGACATGGTGAAAAGAGTGGTTGTGATTTCCGGCAAATCTATCGTCATTTTGTCAAAGAAACACAATAGGAGTTAGGCAGCTGGGATGAGGAAGAAATTTTGCATTGGACTTCTTGAAGTGTTTGTTTATCTTCATTCTAGGGTGCTTGCCAATGGATTGGAAAAACTGACAAAACTTTTGCACCAAGAGTAGCTTTATAATTATGTCCAGCACTGTATGGTCCTACAATTTGTTGGAGATTTCAGAATTTGTTGCGTGGATGCCAGCTGTGCATTTTACACCCACCTTCAGCTTGTTTTTCGGAGCATGATTTTTTTGATTAATGAAAAAATATGACTACTTTAATTTCCAGCACGATTTCGCTGTCAAAATGACGAATGGCGCTCAAACAGACTTGAAAATTCAATTTTACTTGATATGCTCTTCCAAGGTACCATACCTTTACACAAATAAAGCAAATAAAGTATATTTTATTTTGGACATCAAAAAAAGCATGTAGTCGCGTAACTTCAATTTCAATCTCTCGCATTATTCCCGACAATTCAGCGGTCAAGTTTTTTCGCTATTGTAGACTGTACTCGTTTGCACAATATAGTGGTAACGATATACCTGTGTATGCTTGGTAAAAAGTAAAAGTAAATTTAATTTATGAATTCCTTCGAAAAATTTATGTAAATGAAACAGCGCTCAACTTTTTTTTCAAAATGGAATCGCAAATGCCGCCTTAAGCTCTCCTTGAAGGTGCCACAAATAGCAATTTGAGGTTCTAATTTTGACGGCATTTCTCTACACCCAAGGCGTTGGGTGTAGTAGCTATCTATTTTGGAAAATTTCTCTATTCTTTTGAGAATCCGAAATAGCATTTGACGCCTGTTTCAAGGAGGAAACGATCTAACTCACTAGCCACGCAGCCGCCAGAAAAGGGAAGTGTATACTCTGAAAAAACAAGATCAATTTCATGTGTCTATTTTCTACTCCGTGCGCGCACTTGTTGCGATAAACAAAACAGGTTATACGTTTGTTCACTATGGAATTATCGAAAAAATCACTGCTTTGACAGCATGATACAACCTTTGTAGTTCTCAGGTGGAGAGGGAATCCTATTTTTCAAAGTCATTTTGTTTGAAGTCAATAAGTACATCTCAAAACTGTCGCAATTTGTAATCCAGTAGTGCTGTGTTTTGATAAGAAAAATGAGATACTAAGTAATGAATACTTTAATCAACCACATGTCGAAACTAGAGTTCATCATCTCAAAGTTCTAGTAAACACTTGTTCTTATTACAATCATAATTTGCACTGCCGTGCAATGTGTGGTAGGCCTGAGGTTTAAGACTTCACTCGATTTCAGTCGCTGTGCGATCTTGCACTTCAACGACTCTTCATAAGTAGTCATAAACGCGCTTTGCTTGAGCTAAAGTTGATGCTTTGCGACAACTTACAGAAAATACGCGCCTATGCATTCAAGACCCGCGCACGGTTGATTTGAAGAAATCCGGCAAATCGCGAACTCGCTTGGATATAGCGATTTCACGGAATCGCGAGAGGTATGCCTTAGGCATGCCTAAAGCATGCCTAAGGTATTCAACTGATAGCGCGATTTACCTATTAGGTTGATGCATAAGTTCTGTCTGATTTTTTTGCCTCATGTTTGAAGCAGCTGTTTTAAGAGAATTTCATCTCTAATGCGGTATTGTTAATATCATTAGAAATTGCTTTTCTTGCGCTTTCTAAAGCATATCAAATTTCAAATGAATTTCTTAGTGTAAGGAAATTTCAGGCCTAAAATCTCTAAGTGGCCGAGGTAAGCACCCTAGAAATATGTTCTTGCGAGGAAATCCCCACAACGCGCCCTTCAAGTCAAGTTCTTTCATTGGCTGCGGAATAAGGGTGTAGAAGGCTAATATATGCCTAAGTTAGGTCCCATGAAAAAGTGAAGGTGCTAGTGAAATTTGTCGTCGAACATTAATTTTCTGTATAGATGTTTTACAAGCTATAACTTTCTGCGAATAGAAGTAATCGACGACTTTGAAGTTGCTGGGTGCTAGGGCAAAGCAAGAGCTAGCAGAGCCCATCCACCAATTCCTTTCCGGCGCTCACGTCAATTGCAAAATTTTCATAACTTGTAAATAGGCATGCACCAGTGGCGTACCCAGGATTTCGGCTTGGGGGGGGGGGGACAAGAATTTTTTTCTAAAGAAGGTGTGTGGCGTTAGCCACGCACTCCGAAAAAATTTTTGGGGCGTTTTACAAGCCTAATTAGAATTTTTAAAAATTTTCAAAAATTATTTTAATTATTTACAAAAATAAAGAAGTCACTCGCACATTTTTATAACCCATATAAGTAACTTTCAAAAATTTCGCGATCCATTCTCGGGGGGGGGGGGGGGGCGCCTCCCCCCCCCCCCCCGGGAGGCGCCCCCCCCCCTCGGTACGCCACTGGCATGCACACATGCGCTGAAGCGAGGTCAAAAAGTGGCTAATTTTTTGTTCGGTCAAAAAAATCTCCCGGCAACGCAGACCCTGTGGGATCTTTCATGTTGCAGAATAATCTACGAAAATTTTTCTATCTGACCATTGTTAGGCTGACCGTACACTTCTGTTTGCTTTTGTCAATTGCTGAAAAGAAATGATTAAACAAAGTAGAGATCAAATTGTGTAAAGTCATTTTTGGTGTCGCAACTTTCACTCTGTCCAGTCTTCTTAAACCATGAAAAGTTCTTAGTCTAATAATGCAAAGACTTCCTACTGCTTGCACTTTGATTTAAAAACGAGCATTATGTCTAAGAGCGTTGCACTTTATACTTTTAACAAAAAAATACAGGAAAAAGATGCCGCATAATGTCGTTGATACATAGCTTTCGTGCCCCCATCAGAAGATCGCGATCACCCGTTTATCCTTAGTGGTGCTTGCACCAAACAGACAGATTGGTACTTGTATGTAATCTACCGATTTTGCTATATAGAGTCAACTGCGGAATAAAGGCCCAAAAACGATATCAGTTAACAGGCGCGAAGGTGGTGCGCGCGTTTTTTAAACACTTGTAGACTTACTCTATAATGCCTGCGCCGCCTGATACAATAGCGTATCTCTGTTTTCCACCTTTGTAAAGCAGCAAAAAACAACTAAGTTCATGAACCTTCCCTTGAAGTCTTGAGATTTGTTTAACAGACAAATCGCTTATACGCCTATGCACACAAAGTTTTTCTACCTCGACTGCTAATTTTTTTTTCAAACCGCTACGCGTAAAATGTGGTTTACTTCGTTTGTTCAAGACATGTACAGCGTAAAGGTTTTTAGACTGGAAATACCTGGATTATGAAGTCCACTTTGTGGTGACTCGGAATACGGTTGCCTCGCAGTTTGTGGGCTATTGTATATCAAAATTGTTAGCATGAATACAGAGGCGCAGCATGAAGCAGTGATAATACACCGTTTTGATCTCATTCAACCTGCTCTAAAATTTACAATGAACATTGTAACGACATGTTGTAGGAACATCAATCGGCAGTTATGGTCAACACACTAGGATGCCCTTGTTTTTTGCATGCAAATTTACAGAAATTCGTTTTTGAAAAAATTATTGAACGAAAGATGTGACGCCCATACTTTTCGGCCACCCTGTATCTGTAATCAGCATGTTCAATTATTCCCTGTGTCAATCCCAACCTCGTAGCTCAAACTTTACAAAAATTCGATATTGATACGATCGACAGGTGGCTTACGACCTTATTCCCCCCCCCCCCCCGCCCCAAACTATATGTCTGCCAAGTTTGGTCCGGATCGGTTCAGAAATAAGATTTTATAATCGGAACATATGTAGAAACATGCAGGACAGACCTACAAACAGACAATTAGTTAAACATAACATTTACCATCTATTGTATGTGAGCTGCGACAATAGGATGTTATGCAAAATTATTTTTTTTAACAACCTGATATATCGAGTCCAAAATTTGGTTTTTGGGAGGAAAACGTTTGTATTTGAAGAAGTGCAGTAGTAATTTGATGAAACAAGTCATTGCGCTAAGTGAAATCATCCAATTTGTAGTAAATGCTAAGTTCCTTCAAACTAAATTAATCTCAGAGGTTACAAAATTGTACCGCTTCCTTCTCCGTATTTGGCACGTATCTAAGTCTGACTTGACGACACAAACAGCAGGATGCAAAAATTGGTTGGGAAATCTTTCGTAACATGAACCTTTGTTGGCACCACTCAAAAAAAATGGTGGTTGGTAGTTGCTTACAATGTTCATGTTTAGGTACTGCTGCTATGTGACTGCTGCAATTGATCAATACAGATATCAGACATTTAAAATATTTGCCACAGCTGAACCACTGTCAGGCAGATCTTTACAAATGTTAAGACATTTGAGGCGAAATTCTTAGCAGACAATAGATCACTCATTGCGATAAACCGACTCCGAAGCTGTTTGATGCGATAGAATCTTTTTCGTTCTTGTAGTAAGTCTTTTCGTCATATATGAGTTAGGCATTCGTTTTTATTTTGATTTTTCTGCTTTGCATGACTTTTTTCTTTGATAGCTGCTGTAGTTGTATACTATGATAGTAACTTCAAGATTTTTCGGAAATGATGTTGGCATCTTCAAAATCTTTTGTGCTCAAATCTATGATATTGTCGTGTTTTGCTACTCTTTCAGTCATATTCTATGGAGGTGAGTCAACTTTTTAGAAATCTCACTTTTTTAATATCAACTTCATAGACAGACTCCGCACCGAAAATCTAGAATGGCAAGAAGCAGCATTCCTCGCAAAAAACAAAAGTCACATATTGCCACCCTTTATTAGATATCGAGAACAGTATTTGGTAAGCGGAGTGTCACAGTCATTTGCGACCGCATCAAATTTTCAAAATTCAGGTAATAGACAAGTATCGCCTTGCCACTTGCCAAATAGAAAAAATAATGAGTACAATTAGAGGAGCTATATTTTGCTTTCTCACCGACTCGAAAAAATTTTTGGAGCATAACAGAACCATTAGCAACGAACCGTGGAAAAAGAAGGAAAGGTATGCGTTAATATAGCTAACTTCCAAAGTTTGCATAATACAAACTCAGAAAAAAAAACACGAACTTTCTAAATTCACTATCAAAAATGTATTTATCAACAAAGGGAAGCAAATGTCAGAATTTGCTAACTACCTTTACAGGTTTTGCAAGGAGCGGAGTTACGTCCACGAAGATCTTGATAAAACTTTGAAGAATATGGGGCAAGATGCTGTCTTGTTTACGATTGTGAGAGACCCTGTAGAACGACTGATAAGCGGTTTTGTAGACAAATGCTTGAGGTGAGGAATCTTGGTCTATTATAGTGAGAAAATATCGTGTGAGATTTGAACGAATTGGATTTCATGCTTCCATCCTCGAGTGCTATTATTAAATCGGCTAATATTGAGTTTGTTTTGACATGATTCAAAATTCCATAACAATTCGAATAGCAGCTATTCAACTGAAATTTTTTTTGCGAGAAGGTATCTCCAAGCCTCTATTCACGAAGATCAAGCAGTCATATTTTCGTCACCCAAAAGTGACACTTGTGCCCTTTCATGGTCAGAGTTCTAAAAAAACGCTTTTCCAGATTTTCAAGTTCTGTTCTCAGTCTATAATGAGTGCATGCACAGACGACTTCATTTGGTCGTTAAACTTAAATAATAACTTATCCTTTGGTAACTTGGCGAACTACAATGGAGAATGTGATCTGATTTTTGTGAATTTCTGCAACCAAAAACTTGAAAATTTCCAGCCATTTTCGCGTGGAACTCAGGTTTTGGGCAGTCAAGATTGCTTGAATTTAACCATCTACAGTGCTGTACATAATTATAAAGCCACTCTTGGTGCAAAAGTTTTGTCAGTTTTTTCAATCCATTGGCAAGCACGTTAGAATGAAAATAAACAAATACTTTAAGAAGTATCCGATGCAGAATTTCCTCCTCTTTCTAGGTGCTAAACTCTCATTCTGTTTTGTTGCAAGAGTGACGAGATATTTGTTGTAAATTACAACCACTAGTTTTAACCATGTCCAAATTTGCTAATTTTCAAAATTTTTGTATAAGACTTTCGGAGCAGCTCTAACAACTAGCGGATAGGGCAAACCTTTTGCCAACAGAAGCAGTTTTTTTAGCTGCTTTTTCAGGATTTTGCTAAGTAATTTTCTGAAAGTCTTGTGTTCTGGAAAAATCGCATAATCTTTCATTGTACCAAACACTGCAAAACCTACAGAATACTGTGGTTTTAACACACGATTATTACTACCGCTACCATTACAAAGTAAATGAGCGATTTTTGTTTTAGATTATGAAGATTTTGAAACATAGATTACGTCAGTGCGCACTCATGAAATTGAGAAATACTGCGATTTTCCCCATAAATTTCGAGAAATGCTGAAAGACAAGGCGTAGGGCTACAAAAAGTGCTTCTGTTGGCAAAAAATTTGCCCTATCTGGTGGTTATTAGAACTCCTCCAAAAATCTCATACAAAAATTTTGAAAATTAGTGAATTTTGGACATGGTGAAAAGAGTGGTTGTGATTTCCGGCAAATCTATCGTCATTTTGTCAAAGAAACACAATAGGAGTTAGGCAGCTGGGATGAGGAAGAAATTTTGCATTGGACTTCTTGAAGTGTTTGTTTATCTTCATTCTAGGGTGCTTGCCAATGGATTGGAAAAACTGACAAAACTTTTGCACCAAGAGTAGCTTTATAATTATGTCCAGCACTGTATGGTCCTACAATTTGTTGGAGATTTCAGAATTTGTTGCGTGGATGCCAGCTGTGCATTTTACACCCACCTTCAGCTTGTTTTTCGGAGCATGATTTTTTTGATTAATGAAAAAATATGACTACTTTAATTTCCAGCACGATTTCGCTGTCAAAATGACGAATGGCGCTCAAACAGACTTGAAAATTCAATTTTACTTGATATGCTCTTCCAAGGTACCATACCTTTACACAAATAAAGCAAATAAAGTATATTTTATTTTGGACATCAAAAAAAGCATGTAGTCGCGTAACTTCAATTTCAATCTCTCGCATTATTCCCGACAATTCAGCGGTCAAGTTTTTTCTCAAAATTATTATTCTTTACTCACATTTGATGAAAACGTAACGAACGTGTGCTAATATCCAATTTTCAACCTTTAGCAACTCCAATATAAATAGATGGAAGTGCGCATTTGGCAACCTCTTGCCAGCTCAGACGCTAGAAAAAGGTGCCTGATTGGCGAGTATCGCCAGTATCAGGCTTAATACTCCAATCCTTTTCCAAATTGATTCGTCAGACTTTTTAAAAAATAATTATGAATTTGCGGTCCACTCACAATAGTGTTGCGTGTTAGAAGTGCCTACCGTATCCTACACCAATGAAGAGTAAAAGATTTGTTTTATACTGTAATAATATTCGGTTGTCCGGAAATTAATGTCCGTTTTGAATTTCAACCCAACAAGTCATACACTTTTCATTCCTGAATAGCTTTCAAGGTACATTCGATAAAGCAAAGCAATATCTACAGATGATTATCTTGCTTAACTACAGCTCTGATCCACCTTGAGTATCGAGCCAACAAATAGAAATATTCAACTGCCCGAAAAATCAAGAAAAATCATAATTCAGTCCGTAAGAATTCTACAAAAATTCTAACTTACTCACGTGAACACTATCCACATAAGACATATATGTACGCTATTGCCGTATTTCTTCCTTTGCTAGGAATCAAAAAAACGATAATTTTCATACCTTTGCAAAAGTGATGCTGTGTCGTCCCCACATAAGTAGATGTATACTACAAATCTGTAGAAGTAAAAACGTGGATTTTCAGCTTTTTACAAGCTTTAGTTGTCGAGAAAATTGAATTTTAGTTTGAACCACCTGGCTAATGAAAGCTATATTCGATATTTCTCGAGAACTAAAGCTTGTAGAGAGCTGAAAATTCACGTTTGTGCTACTACAAATTTGTAGTACACATCTACTTATGTGGGGACGACACAGCATCGCATTGGCAAAAGTATGAACATTTTCGTTTTATCGACTTCTAACAGAGGAAAAAATACGGCAATAGCGTACATATATGTCTTATATGGATAGTGTTTACGTGAGCAAGTTAGGATTTTTGCAGGATTCTTATGAACTGAGTTGTGATTTTTCACGATTTTTCGGGTAGTTGAACCTTTTTAGTTTTTGACTCGAAACTCGAGGTGGATCAGAGCTGTTGTTAAAGCAAGATAGGCATCTTGTAGATCTTGCTTTGCTCTATCAAATGTTTCCTTGAAAGCTATTCAGGAATGAAAAGTCTATGACTTATTGCGGTTGAAATTCAAAACGGACATTAATTTCCGGACAACCTGATAATTAAAGCCAGCTTTGCAGTATGGTTAAAAGCCGAAAAAACATACATTTAAACACTTTTATACACTGTTCTAAGACTCAAGCGAAGCAGACCAGTTATGGAAAATTGTTGTATTAGGTTGTTGTATAAGTTCTGTCCGATTTGAATTTTTTGAGTTCAAAATGTCATAACTTCTTTCAAAGTCAACCTTTTTTCAAGATCTAAGTTTCAGTGTTTTGAACAGCTTCTTGGCTATCGGAAGCATAATGAGATTTGCGAAAAACCTCGCTAAGGAAAAAGCAGGAGCTTAAAAACTTTACAGCGTTTTTCTTCAAACCTGTCTTTTTTGACATGGCAGTGCTCCCTTATGAGAATTGGTAGGCATCTTACCTAACAATGGTCAGATAGAAAAATTTTCGTAGATTATTCTGCAACATGAAAGATCCCACAGGGTCTGCGTTGCCGGGAGATTTTTTTGACCGAACAAAAAATTAGCCACTTTTTGACCTCGCTTCAGCGCATGTGTGCATGCCAGTGGCGTACCGAGGGGGGGGGGCGCCTCCCGGGGGGGGGGGGGAGGCGCCCCCCCCCCCCGAGAATGGATCGCGAAATTTTTGAAAGTTACTTATATGGGTTATAAAAATGTGCGAGTGACTTCTTTATTTTTGTAAATAATTAAAATAATTTTTGAAAATTTTTAAAAATTCTAATTAGGCTTGTAAAACGCCCCAAAAATTTTTTCGGAGTGCGTGGCTAACGCCACACACCTTCTTTAGAAAAAAATTCTTGTCCCCCCCCCCCCAAGCCGAAATCCTGGGTACGCCACTGGTGCATGCCTATTTACAAGTTATGAAAATTTTGCAATTGACGTGAGCGCCGGAAAGGAATTGGTGGATGGGCTCTGCTAGCTCTTGCTTTGCCCTAGCACCCAGCAACTTCAAAGTCGTCGATTACTTCTATTCGCAGAAAGTTATAGCTTGTAAAACATCTATACAGAAAATTAATGTTCGACGACAAATTTCACTAGCACCTTCACTTTTTCATGGGACCTAACTTAGGCATATATTAGCCTTCTACACCCTTATTCCGCAGCCAATGAAAGAACTTGACTTGAAGGGCGCGTTGTGGGGATTTCCTCGCAAGAACATATTTCTAGGGTGCTTACCTCGGCCACTTAGAGATTTTAGGCCTGAAATTTCCTTACACTAAGAAATTCATTTGAAATTTGATATGCTTTAGAAAGCGCAAGAAAAGCAATTTCTAATGATATTAACAATACCGCATTAGAGATGAAATTCTCTTAAAACAGCTGCTTCAAACATGAGGCAAAAAAATCAGACAGAACTTATGCATCAACCTAATAGGTAAATCGCGCTATCAGTTGAATACCTTAGGCATGCTTTAGGCATGCCTAAGGCATACCTCTCGCGATTCCGTGAAATCGCTATATCCAAGCGAGTTCGCGATTTGCCGGATTTCTTCAAATCAACCGTGCGCGGGTCTTGAATGCATAGGCGCGTATTTTCTGTAAGTTGTCGCAAAGCATCAACTTTAGCTCAAGCAAAGCGCGTTTATGACTACTTATGAAGAGTCGTTGAAGTGCAAGATCGCACAGCGACTGAAATCGAGTGAAGTCTTAAACCTCAGGCCTACCACACATTGCACGGCAGTGCAAATTATGATTGTAATAAGAACAAGTGTTTACTAGAACTTTGAGATGATGAACTCTAGTTTCGACATGTGGTTGATTAAAGTATTCATTACTTAGTATCTCATTTTTCTTATCAAAACACAGCACTACTGGATTACAAATTGCGACAGTTTTGAGATGTACTTATTGACTTCAAACAAAATGACTTTGAAAAATAGGATTCCCTCTCCACCTGAGAACTACAAAGGTTGTATCATGCTGTCAAAGCAGTGATTTTTTCGATAATTCCATAGTGAACAAACGTATAACCTGTTTTGTTTA